TGAGTCAATGCAATCAATTGGTTTTCTTTAGATAGAAAACTTTCAATTTGACTGTATGATCTGGTTGAACTGTAAAGTGCCTTGAGATGACATGTGTTGTGAATTGGCGCTATAGAAATAAACTGAATTGAACATAATTAGCAAGAACACAAGTCTGTACTCGTGTTCTTGTGAATTGAGAAACGGCTTTACCGTCTATTAGGAGTCAAACTTGCAGCCATCAGCTTTAAAGCTTCAATGGATTTCCTCTAATCCAACCGGGTGAAAATTAGACATTCTGGCTATGCAATATACCTAAACACATTCCCACCATTTACTGGGGAAAAAAGGTTGGGGGGGTTCCAGAAATTGACGATGCCGCTCTCCTTTGTCCGTATCCTAAGCCAATAAAACCTCAGAACATCCTTCTTCTCTTTGAACAAGTATAATCTGGACATAAGGACCTTTCCTTCACAAATGAAGGCTCTTTTCTAATGTACACAACATAAACAAAATGTAGTTAACATGATCTTTCTTTAGGAGCAACAATAGCTATAAGACATACAGTTAAGATTTGCTGCTTTTAAAATATGTCTACATTATCAATAGCCCCCAAAATAGACCAGTAGTCCACTACAGTAGAAGCTACAGTAAAATGCAGATTAATTTCTTTGTTATCTTAAAAAGTCACGGCTTCAAACTTGATTCAGATTAGAAACTGGTGAGGATCCCAAACCCAGAATAAACTGTTTTAGAAACAAATACACCATTAAACTATTAAGGCCTAAGGATTTAAGATATTAAAACTGCAAAAAATTATCATACTCCTTTTTCCACTTTTTTAAGGAAAGCGATTTAATATTTTTATGATGCATAAACTGAAAAAAACTCAAAATATATCTGAACCTGCTTTATTGAAACATATCTAATTATAGCTTACACACATTGATTACTATGACCTTCATGTCCATGATTAATGTACATAATCTCTTGGTTCATGATGCAGAGGGGTTCAGGTGCAGAAAGTTTTTGCTATAAAGCTATTTATCTGATATTTGACCCATTTCTCTCTGTCGCTCCATAAATTCATGCCTCCATGTGTTTATCTCACCTCTTTACATGTAAAACCGACATGCTGAAACTCAAACATTAAAGCTGTTTCCCTCAGTCTCATAAAACCTGATTTAATTGTTGTTCTTGCTGACAATGGCCACCTGAGCACAGGGTTCCTCCTGAACCTCAAATGCACCACCTGTTCAGGGTGGGCAGCAGCGAGGCAGCTGAGCGGAGTTATATGCATGGCTTCCTCTGCTTATATGCAGACGGCATATACAGTATTCACGAGTAAACAACAACAACATTTCAATTTTTCACTTTAAACCCAGCGTTTCATGATGCATTTAACAATAATAACATTTTCTGGTTCAGAAAAACAAATATGGGGAGACAGGAAAAAAAAAAAAACAGCTTTATTTGTTTCAATGGTAAATGTTGAGCAAAACTCACCCTGAGTGATGTGGTGCAGCAATACCTGTCAATAATAACTAGGGATG